CCCTAAAGTGAAGCCCACCTCAAATAGTGCTCATGTTTGATGCTGAGCATGTAACTCTGCCAACTATGCTGAGCATGTAACTCAGCAGATTATACAAGTTTATGAAGCATTAAAACTGTTAAAACTGTTACTTTGGTATATTTAGGATGGTGAAAACCAGAATGCAGTGTTTATTCGAGGAGAATGCACAGGGACAAAGTTGCGTAGATATTACATAATGGAACAGATGGATAAGCTTTGATGTGCTTGTTGAGAAGTCAAAAGCAGCTAAAATTCCACATGGCAACTGGCTCCACCCAGATGTGGGAAATATTTCTTTCTCGGGTTTCCCATATCAATTTTTTACTGTCATGGATTAAATAACACCTTCATCCATAATCCTTTTGACAAGAGGACTCTGCAGTGTGATCTATTTCTTTTGGAAGTTCTAGCAAGATACCTGTGTGTATTTTTTCAGGGGTCTTTAACAGGAACCTTGGAGGTTTTGGAAGGGACCCTGGAGGTCTTCTAGTCCAATCCCTGCTCCAACAGGAAACCCTATTGCATTTTAGACAAATGGTTGCCCAATTTTTTTTTTTAAAAAAATCTCCTCTGTCGGACTACCCACAATTCTGGAGGCAAGTCATTCCACTGATTAAACAGGAAATTTCTCTTTGGTTCTAGGTTGGCTCTGAAAGAAAACCAGCATTCTATGTCATTTCCTCTTCAGCCTTTCCCCTTAACAGTCAATCAGTATTGTACTCTAACTGCATATACTTAATGCTTCCTCGCTGATTTAATTCCATGTATGTCAGTAGGAAAAATTCCTTTCTTATAATTTTTTTCCCTTGAGGCCCTAACGTCTGCTGATACCATCCCCACCATCCCCAACAGAGGAATAGCATCTTTTTGGGCACATAAGCAGAAGCCGTCAGTGTGTTATAAAATATGATAGCTAAATAGAAGTCTTCTGTTCAAAGGCATTGTACTTGGTAACATGATGCTAGTGAACTTTAGAGGACTGGTTGGCCATTGTTGCAAAAAGATATTCTGGATTGGGTGGATCGTTGGTCAGGTTCAGGAAAGGAACGATGTGCATGATGATTAATAGGGAAGTAAGTATGTAAAATAAGTAAGTTACTTGGGATCCTATCCAAACTTAATTCTAAGTATAAAGACAAACTAGACTGAATTTTTTTTCAACATACCTTGTAAATATATTGTATCCAAAAACAGATTGCAATTTTTCCCCAAGATTTTCCAATTTTTTTCTTAATCAACATTATTACTGTCAGTAGAATAAATTTATTACCCAGATAAACAATCTCCCTCATCACTACCCCCATAGCAAGCAATACATTTATTTATGCTGTGCCAACCCAGTGCCCATTTCAGATAGCTTGAAGAGATACTATTCTCATTTTGAGATTTTTTAAAGGATTTTTTTTTGCGTTCTTCTATCAGGTAAAGCTATAGCATCTTTATCTTCTGAAGATCAGTAATTTTAACAGTATGTTGTATTTTAATTTCCTGAAATTCACGGTTTTCTAGGGCTCTGAGAACAAGAGATATATATCTTTGATTTTAGCTTTGTGTGCTTGTTTGCCTTTGCATGCACAGCCTGTCCTGTCACTAGGCATAGTGAGACAGCTGCCTCAGGAGAGGAGGGAGTCATATTCAAAAGTTCATCTTGGCCTCTTTCTAATTTTATTTCTTTATTTGAATTGTTTGCTGCCCATCTTGCTTCAAGCCAATTCTGGGTGGCTTACAACAATGAAAGCCAATAAAACCACGAAGAATAAATATTTCTATTAACAGTAAAGATTACAGTTAAGAAGATGGGGAGGAAAGGAGCAAGATGTATATATGGGGGGGATTGAAGCTGATGAGAATCAGTACATATGGGTCTTTAGATAGCTAAATGGCTATCAGCTGCAATGGGTTGAAATGATTTGCATGAATAGCAATGCACTGGTAAACAAATCCATCTTAAAAGCAAGCTCCCTTGCTATTTCATCTCTGCTTATTTTTTATTCATTCAGTCCTGATTCATCCTGATTCATCCCTGTTTGTTTCTTGATCATTATGTCAGCCCTTTCCAAAAGGTTATGTGACAGAAACAACATCCTTTTTCATTATATTTATTCCAAAATACAGTCTTCCTAATCACAGGTTTTCATGTTCAGGTACCACATTCTGTAATAATGCTTCCTGGCTACTTGCACTTATAATCCAAAAAAACTAAAAGTTTGCACACCAAAAATTTGCTTTATAAAAAATACAGTAAGATTTCTTCTTAGATATATAACAGTATTTCCACACTGTTGTGACTTAGCTTAGAAAATGAAGAAAGTTTTTCACCAGCAAAATCCTGTCTTGTATTTGAAAAAGGAGTGTCTGACTATAGTCAAAATGAGACTCCTGTACACACTGCTTTCAGAGCAACATGCATAGATGTAGATGAGATGGGCAACAGACACACACATATGGGAGAGAGAGAGAGAGAGACAGACAGAGACAGACAGACAGAGAGAGACAGACACACACACACACACACACACACACACACACACACACACACAGAGAGAGAGAGAGAGAGAGAGAGAGAGAGAGAGAGAGAGAGAGAGAGAGAGAGATATATTTCTACAGCAACTTTGTATCTGAGAATCTTTTATTTTGGGATGTTAATGTAGTCACAATCAAACCAAGCAAAGTTTACTTTTCATTTGAGTACTTACTGATAACCTCTCTTAGGAGGAAACAAAAGCACTAATTGCAGTTTTTCCGGCAAACAATTAAACACTGCTTCAGGGTGGTCAATTTATATATCCCCGAAATGGCAGCCCTGAAACTGAAACCAGTGAAAAATAGAGATTCAAGGGAAGGGCAAAGTGATTGAAAGACTCGGTGTTTGAGTCTATTTTACAGTAATTCTTCCCAAACACCATCTTCGTTTAGCAAAGCCATCAGTCACTGGCCTGGCCTGGCCTGGCAACGGGAACAGGACTTTCAATTGCCTTTTCCAGGCAGTGCGTCTGCAACAGCTGCAGGGACTTGAAAAAAACAACAACATTCTGAAGTAGGGGGTGGCTGCCTTTGTGCAAAAACATGATCGCACTTTCACACTCCAGATGTCTGTGGGGCAAGCTGGGACAGATGTATGCTGAGCCTGTATCCGCAAAAGGTTTCACTCTGAGTGGAAACTCCCAGTCCTGCAGGTGGCGACAAATGCCCTTAAAGCTGTGCGCTGTCCGTGGTCCTGAAACTCCACGACGAGGAAGCAGACGACGAGAAGGTATCTTGCTGCCTCCGCTGCCAAAAGCAAAGAAGGCGGGGGGGGGGAGGGGAAGAAAAGGCAAAGTGCCCATTCATGGCCTTCTTTTCAAGCGCCAAATTGTAGCCGGAGGGGGAAAAAAGGGCTTTTCTTCCTTCCTTGCAGCTTCACAAATCATCCACAAATCATTGCTCTCTTGGTTAATGCGTTATTTCTTTCGGCTGATCAAAATAAGAAACGACTGTCCCTACTTCTCTTGTTGAGCGTACTTTCCCCCGATTTTTTTTCAGCTTGGCCTCTGGCCAAAGCTTAGCTCATTCTCCTTCCCAGGGACTGGGTAAGAAGGGAAGATGCAGCCAACAGTGCAGTCAGTACCAATGTGAAATGTGTTGGGTACGTGGAAGGAAAAGATCCATTCTCTTCCTATCCGGATGTGTGGATCCCCAACTTTAGAATGATGGTTGGGAGTATTGGGAGTCAATGCAACACCTGTGAAAGGTATCAGTTGAGGACGGTTGCCCTATTTGCTGGCGACTTAACTTTTGCTCTGAGGAATGATTCCTTTCCTTTACACTGCTTAGAAGTTTGGGATAAATGAAGGTAAAAGCAAGGAACTGAGTGCTGGCAGGTCTAAAGGCTGTGACAGGTTTAGTTCCCCCTTGTGAATGGAGGGAGGGTCTCTTTCTTATTCGTTTCACCAGGCAATGCTGTTGCACATTCCACTGATAAAAAGAGACCGGCGCTTGGAGTGTAACGCAATCCAGAGGGAAATACCTACTCACACGCATAAGGTGTGCTTGCTGGAGGAGCAGCCGGTCGGATGATGTGGAGTGGAAACTGAAGAAAAGATGAAGGGGGCAAAGTGGAGAAGCATAAGAACCCGGGAGGATTCGGAGGTGAAGAACTGGGAATGAGAAGAGAGAAAGGAGAGAAGGAAATAAAACAACCACCTATCAACAAGAGGCGTGAGAAAGAGAAGGAAAGTCACCAACTGAGTGGCGGAGTGGGTTCTAGAGAGGAAAGGAGAATCGAAGAGAAAGGGAGGGCAGAGCGAGAGGAGCCCGGAACAACCCGGGAGCGCTACAAAAGCGGGGGGCGGGGGGCGCAGCTGCAGAGAGAGACGTCGGCGACAGCAGCAGCAGCAGCAGCAGGGCTAAAGAACGGGAGCAGGAGCGAGGACGCCGGAGGGGAGGGAGGGGGCAGAAAGGGGAGAGAAGAGAAAGGGGGCAAAAGAAGCGAAGGGGCAGCCAAGAGAGGAAAAGTTGCACCGGGACGAAACCTCAGCCTCAGCCAGGACGGAAAGACCGACGGGAAGTCGGGGAAAAAAGAAAACTGAGCAACTGAGAGTTAGTCGACGAGGGCGAAGCAGCCGGCCGGAGGCAAAGAGAGAGCAAGTTTAGGAAGGGCGAAGTGGAACCCTCAGCAGCAAGTGGGTGTCGGCGGAGAGTTCGAGGCCGGGAGGCCGAGCGAGAGGAACGCTCGGCGACGTCGGTTCCGGAGTGCTGGGTCAGTCTGGGACGCGATGCAACCGCCGCGGCTCTGCCACTCTGACCGGGGCTGGCCCGAGGAGCTGGACGTCGCGAGCCCGGCCGCTACCTCGCTATAGCTCATTAAGGGAACACGTGATCCAGGCAGGCGGCCGCTTTTCGCCTGTCCCGTCGGGGCGCCATGGTGACCCTCGGGAGGAGCTGCCCGCCGCTGCCGGAGCCGGAGTGAAGGCGCTGCCTTCTTGCCCGCCCCTCTCGCCATGGAGCTACCCAACGGCACGGCGGCGGCCGGCTTCAGCGAGCCGACCGGGTCCCCAACCCCGCCGCCCTCGGGCTCCCCGGCAGCGGCGGCCAGCCTGGGCTATCAGCTGGCCACGTCTGTGGTGCTGGGCGCGCTGATCCTCTTCGCCGTGTTGGGCAACGCGTGCGTGATCGCGGCCATCGTCCTGGAGCGCTCCCTGCAGACGGTAGCCAACTACCTGATCGGCTCGCTGGCCGTCACCGACCTGATGGTCTCGGTGCTGGTGCTGCCCATGGCCGCCCTCTACCAGGTGCTGGGCAAGTGGACGCTGGGCCAGGCGATGTGCGACCTCTTCATCGCGCTCGACGTGCTGTGCTGCACCTCGTCCATCTTGCACCTGTGCGCCATCGCCCTGGACCGCTACTGGGCCATCACCGACCCCATCGACTACGTCAACAAGCGGACGCCCCGCCGGGCCGCCGCCCTCATCAGCCTCACCTGGCTGATCGGTTTCCTTATCTCCATCCCGCCCATGCTGGGCTGGCGGACGCCCGAGGACCGCTCCGACCCCAACGCCTGCACCATCAGCAAGGACCCGGGCTACACCATCTACTCCACCTTCGGCGCCTTCTACATCCCCTTGCTGCTCATGCTGGTCCTCTACGGGCGCATCTTCAAGGCGGCCCGCTTCCGCATCCGCAAGACGGTCCGCAAAGCAGACAAGAAACAGCCGCGGTCGCCCGATGCGCCGGTGGCAAAGGTGGCCGACACTTGCCTTTCCCACTCGCCGGCCAGACGCACCAACGGCGGTCCCCAGCAGGAGCAGCGGCGGCAGCTGCAGGCGGCGGCGGGGGCCAAGGGCAGGAGGAGCGCGGCGGAAGCCAAGGGGGCGCCCTGCGTCAACGGGGCCCTCCGGCCGGGCGAAGACGGCTGGGTAGCTGCCTCGGCCCTGGAGCTGCGCGAGATGACGCCGTCCAACTCGGCCAAAAGCCTCATGCTGCCCCTGCCCAACCACCCACTCCCCGACGCCGCCTCGCCGGCCCCCGAGCGCAAGAACGAGGCCAAGAGCGCCGAGGCCAAGCGCAAGATGGCCCTGGCTCGCGAGCGGAAGACGGTCAAGACGCTGGGCATCATCATGGGCACCTTCATCCTCTGCTGGCTGCCCTTCTTCATCGTGGCGCTGGTGCTGCCCTTCTGCGAGGGTTGTTCCATGCCGGCGTGGCTGGGCGCCGTCATCAACTGGCTGGGCTACTCCAACTCGCTGCTCAACCCGGTCATCTACGCCTACTTCAACAAGGATTTCCAAAGTGCTTTCCAGAAGATCGTCAGGTGCAAGTTCTGCATGCCCTGAGACGGGGCGGACGGCGGCCGAGTTTGCCGGGAAGGCGGCGCCAGGCGAGGGTCCGGTGCTGCGCGACTTCCATCTCCTTCGGCTCCACGGACTTGCGCGAGGCCCGAGCTTGTTTCGTTGGCGGAACCTTCTTGCTCTCCTTCTGCAGAACCGGGATTCTCCGCCCCGTTTTCTCGGCTCCCTGGGCTTGGGGGTGGGAAGGGCAGGGCAGGGCAGGGCGTCCTTGGGGTCGCCGCATGGCTGGAGGCTCCTGGCGGCCTTGAGGGGTCAGAACACAAGCAAGGCC